ATATTCTATGATTCTGTACATTTAAGCAGTTGTCTTATCAGGTAGCCTCGACCGCTGAGCTGCTCCTTGGAAGGTGTCCATGCTTGCTAGTAGCATGGACCAATTTTTAAGCTAGAGGACCTGTTGTGGGCACTGTCTCTTCCAGTCCTGTTCTTCTACCTTGCCTGCCTCAACCACAGGGCTTCATTGCATGAAAATGATGGAAATAAATTAACTTTAATGTTATATTATTGTGCAGCTGTTTGGTGTTAAAATCTTTTTGTATATGTGCTATTTATTTCTTCTTACTGTGTAGACTTTACATTTATTAGGACCGAATAGCCACTTGTTCCCTGCAGCCCCTGCTATTTAATCTCTCCAGGTTACATGTTCTTCTGCTTTGTGGTTTGCTTCTGTGTCATCTGCTTATTTAATCATTTTGAACATATATGAAATATATTAAGTAGTCACACTGATTGAAATAGATGTTTAGTTTGTTTATATAGTTAAGTTTTGTTAGTTCGGTTAATTGCCTTGATAAACAAGAAGTGGGGGGCTGTTCCAAACATAAGGGAGAAGAAATATGGTAAGAGCCACAAAGCCAAGAGTGTCAAAGGAGCAGTAAAGCAGGAGAATTAGAAAAAGCATGGAGGAATAGAGGAATATGATAGCAGAGATGCAAGTGGGGCCTCAAAAGGTGACGACTGAGAGCTCAGATTTGATGTGATTACATGCAAAAAGTCATTTACAGAATTCAGAGGTCAGCGGTGGTCATGGAAAGAGCAGAATGGCAGGAGAGAAATAAAAATAAAAGAACAAATGAGGAAAAAAACACTCTATAAATAACAGATGTAAACAAATAGTTCCAAAGAAATTCCCCTCCAAAAGATGTAGGAGGACAAAATGGGTCTGAATTTAGGAAGACATCATTTCCCAGGTAAGTTTTACTTAAGTGAAATACTACTTTATTTGTATCTTCTAATGGACTGATTTATTATTTATACTTACTTCTATTAAGTGCATCTCCATCTATAGTCATTTTTACATAACTCCAATACACAGTGCAGAGGTCAAAATTGCAACTTATATAATGAGCTACTTGTATTATACAGTAACTCCTCACTTAACGTTGTAGTCATGCTTCTGAAAAATGCAACTTTAAGTGAAATGATGTTAAACTAATCCAATTTTCCCATAAGATTTAATGTAAATGCGGGGGGATAGGTTCCAAGGAAATTTTTGGGGGGCAGACAAAAGGCATTATATACTGTACTGTACTGTGGTGGGGAGGTGCCCCTGGCTTACCCCTGGAGCTCAGGGCTGGGGGTGCAGGGTCTGGGAGGAAGTTAGGGTGCGGGAGGGCGCTCAGGGTTGGGGGTGAGGTCTGGGAGGGAGTTAGGGTGCAGGAGGGTGCTCAGGGTGGGGGTGTGGGAGGAGGCTCAGGGCTGGGGCAGGCAGGAGGTGCAGACCACTTACCTGGGGCAGCTCCTGTTTGATGCAGGGGGTGTGCAGGTGGCTCTGCGCAGCACGGCACCGCCCCCAGGGCTGCGATTCTGGGAGCTGCCCCCCCCCGGGGCTCTGGCCCTGGCCTGCAGCTCTAAAGCCCCTTTCAGAATGCGGCCCTGCGAGCACGGGCCAGAGGACTCAGGAGGAACAGGGGCAGCCGCGCAGCCAGCGGCTGGAGAGAAGCGGCGCTTTCCCCTTCAAAGCGCTGCTTCTCTCCGTCCGGCTTTGAAGGGGAAAGCACTGCTTCTTTCCAGCCGCTGGCTGCGTGGCTGCCCCTGTTACTCCTGAGTCCTCCGGCCCGTGCTCACAGGGCCGCATTCCGAAAGGGGCTTTAGAGCTGCAGGCCAGGGCCCTGGGGCCCCCTTAGCCCAGTGCCCTGCAGCCCCTAAAGGCCCTGCATTCCGGGTGGCCCTGCCTGCCGGGGGGGGAGGGGCAGCTTCCCTGCTCGCTCCCTCCCAGAAAGTCCTAAGCGCCACCAAACAGCTGTTTGGCGGCGGGGGAAGCGCTGGGAGGGAGGGAGGAAGGGAGGGGGAGGAGGCGGAGAAGAGGAACTTGTGCAATGCTCCCTTGTAAAGTCAGCCAAACAACGTTATAAGGGAGCATTGCACAACTTTAAATGAGTATGTTCCCTAATGGAGCAGCGACGTAACTTTGAAACAACGTTAAGTGGGAGTACGTTAAGTGAGGAGTTACTGTATCATAATAATACTTGCCCTCCATAATAATAATAATTAATAATTATTAAGCCTACATGTAACTCCCCTGTAGCCTTGAAATGCACACACTCTCTCTCCTCTCCTCAAAAAGAGTTTGGTAGCAGGCCCTGACTGTTAACAAACGGGGTTAGATTAATTTCTATGGAGCAATAGTGCCATCCCATGATTATTTAAGGTTACTACACATGTATATTCTATTGCCTTAGGCCAGTGGTTCTCAACCACTGGCCTGAGGCCCCCCTGCGGGGCATGAGCACGTTTCAGGGGAGTCATCAAGCAAAGCTGGCATTAGACTTGCTGAGCCCCAAGGCAGAAAGCTGAAGCCCCATCACCTGGGGCTGAAGCCTGAGTAACAGCTTCATGGGGGCCCCAGGCAATTGCCCTGCTTGCTACCCCCTAACGCCAGCCCTGTCTTTTATATGAGAATAAACAGTTTTTGTGGCACAGGTGGGCCATGGAGTTTTTACAGTGTGTGTGTGTGGCGGGGGGGGGGGTGTCTCATAAAGAAAAAGGTTGAGAACCCCTGCCTTAGGCTATATTTCATATATTCCATGTATATAAATCTATTATAGATCAGATGATAAATGTGTGGCTTCTTTTTACAGCATATTCATTTGTTGCATCTGATCATTGTATTTATCTGCTCTTTTGTATTTGTGTACTTTAATTGCTTTTGCAAACAGTAGACTATACATATAATATTATTTAAAATGAAGACTCTGCTTATAAACATTGTGCTTCACTCAGACTAAGTGAATGATGTTTCCTTGAGTTTATTAGCATGATCTTTGGCCACAATCCTGAAAACACACACATACTTAACTTTACTACTGTGAATAGTTCCATTGATATCAACAACACTACTCACAGTAGTAAAGTTAAGCCCATACATAAGTGTTTGCTGGACCAGGCCTTTAATTCTCATTAATATGTTAATTAATATCTGTTACTAATATTTCACTGCCTTCAAGTAGAATTGTTAAATCTTAAGACTGAGACCACGTTTCCTTTACTAGCAATGGGGCTTTGAATTGATTCCAGAGATTGTAAATACATTGCAAGATTATGCTGTTCTGTACACTTCCAAGGATATTTGAAGATTTACACTCAAATAAAGGACCAAATAGTATTACATATCATGAGAGAAGACAATAGTTTCAAAGCAATTGCTACTGAATTAGTTATTGCATAAATATGATTTTTATCTTTATAAGAAGTATTTATTACATACAAATATATGTATGGCAAGATAAATAAAATAAGATATTGCAAGATATTGTGTAAATGTAAATGTCTCAAGATACTTTTCATAGCCAGTTACATTGTATGGCCTTGATATTGCACATTTTTAGGAAACTGCATAACTTCATTTAGTTGGTTGAGTAGTCCCATTGACTTCAGTGGAACTACAGTTGTGACTAAAATTACACAATTCCTTAAGTGTTTGCAGGATCATTGTTCTATATGTGAAGGGGTGAAAAAGTTACAGGGTTACAATATATTTTCACATATTTATAGTCCTCTCTCAGGCAAGAGGTTATGAAGCATCACAGTAAAGAAAGTAGGTATCTCCACGCCCAGGTGCAAACAAGACACGTGCAGTCTGACTTAAATAAACATCATGAATGGTTTAGTTCTATCTGCAGCTACTTTCCCCCACTTGCAATCTTTGATTAACTTGATTGCAGTGCTAGAAAATTTAACACCTATTTTTTCTTAG